TTTTTTTTTTTTTTTTTTTTTTTTGTAGGGAAGAAACTTTTCGTTGAATTTCTTATTTAATTCAGTAGCGCTTTCATTACCACATTCTCTGTTGATTGATATCACAAATGGTCTCATTTTATTTACATAAACAGGATCTTTCTGCTGTATCCGTTTACCACTCAACCAAATTAAGTCTCTTCTCATCAAACTATGGCCCTCTCATTAAACCATCATATCCACCAAACCTAAGTGAATTATAGAGTGCAATTTCAACTGGTATATAGGAACTTGGTTAATCAATGTCTTCACAACGCTAGAGTTAGTTGCTTTGAGTCACTAATCAATGCTGAAAAGAGAAAAAAATGTCTCAAAAATATTACATCAAGGATTTCCTTGAAACTGTTGTTTTGGTAAATGTTTGGCCATATCATAGGCTAATTTACAAGCTTAGTCATTGAACTTTTAAACTTGTGTCTTATAGGTTTCTGAACTTTTATTGAAGTGTCTAATAGAGTCTAAACCTTCAATAAAAAGCTTATGAGGGACTTGGACCTATTCAACATTTTAAAAATTTTTATGTTTACATAAAATTTAAGGTTTAGAATTGTAATGTTTTGAATCCTATCAAATAAGAGAATTAAATTTTATGTCTAATAAGTTTGTTAGTTTTTAAAAAAATTGCATATGTCATAATTTATTAGACACAAATTGAAAGTTGAGGGACTTAGTTGACAGTTTGAAGAGTTCAAGTTCTTTTAGATATTAAAATCGATAGCTTTGGAACTTAGTAGACACTTTAATGTTTCACATCTGTTTAGGCACAGTCGAAACTTTGAGACCTATATTTGTGCATTAAACTATATATGTCATTGGCAAAGGGTGCATGCCTGTCCAATTTGTTGGCCAGCAGTACTGCATATTAGATTTCCTCTAAAACTTACTAATATGAATGATAGTTTTTATTCTCTCTTTCTTTTATCATTTATCCTTTCAATAGTGTTAGTGTTTTTTCTTAACGTGTTGTGAATAGGGACTAGAAGGAAACAAAGGTCGTCTTGTGGAAGACAAAAAGTCTTTGATACCACTAAAGAGATCACGTGATGGAGAACAATCGAATCGGGATTCGTCTATCACCGGTAGCTCAGGTCGTAAATTAATTGTCAGGAAGGATAAAATTTCTGAAGTAGATCTTGGACATAAAACTACAAACTCGTCTCAAGATTCTCAACAAGGATTAGTCATTAGGCCCAGTGAAATGTTGTCATCAGTGAAACCCGTTTCGGTAGTTTTTCCAGGTAAATTTGTTATAAAGAATTTGACTATTGAAAATGCCAATATTTCTTTTTAAGGAACGTCATGTAATTATCTGATTCTATCATAAATATGGTGAATACCAAGTGTGCTGTTTCTAATGATAATAAAACTTATTGATAGGTTTGTTAAAATATCATCACTAGTTAGTAGGGTCAAGCCCAATAATTGTATGAGTTCATTGTCTATGTATTTTAGAAGAATGACTTGCATATTTTAGAAGAATGACTTGCATATTTTAGAAGAATGACTTATGTATTTCAGGAATAAAGATACTTAGATATTTTAGGAAAATGATTTAGGTATTTTAGTAATAAAGATGCCTAAGTATTTTAGGAAAAGAATTATTGTATTTTAGGAATAAACGGTTAGATATTTTAGGAATAAATTGTTTAGTCTCTACTATAAATATTTCTCCAACCTACCAAGGTTTTCATCCCCAAGAAATCCAAAACACAGAGTGCAGTAGTTTCTACAAAGTGTCTTGTAATCTCTTCTCGACTGGTGTTAATAAAGAGTGTGAGTGCTTCCCACAAAGAGTTGTGTTCAACAATCTGGTATCAAAGCGAGGTTAGTGTAGGTTGTCTGATCTCTTGGAATTCTTAATATGCTCTGTGGTTGCAGTGCTGTTTGATCTTCCACATCAAAAACGATTTCTTGAGATTATTAGTGAGTAAATTTCTTTGTGTTGTGAGTTGTTCGTGATTTTGCAGGTTTTGTGTTGAAAGGCTTGTTTGGTATTATTGAGTTCTTACCAACACGATGGTTGATATCCAAATGGTTTGAGGAATTAAGAAACTCAACAACAACAACTACAATACGTGGGCAACGTGCATGATGTCCTATTTACAAGGACATGAACTTTAGGAGATCGTTGGTAGGTGTGAAACTACGCCGCTAGAGGAGGATTCTAATGGCGCCTTGCACAAATAGAGAATCAAAGCAGGCAAATCAATGTTTGCCTTGAAAACCACAATCGAAGAAGAGTTGTTAGAGCACATTTGAGATAATAAGACTCTAAAAGAAGCATAGGACACATTCATGATGTTGTTATGAAAGAACAATACAAGGCTACAACTTCTGGAGAATGAGTTGCTATCAATTTCACAACGTGACATGATGATTCTTCAATACTTTCACAAAGTTAAGTTGATCTGTCGGGAGATTACTGAACTAGACTTGAAGTTCGCCATTGGAGAAGCTCGATTGAAGAGGATGACCTGCCCAATCATCACTTGTAGAGTTTGAAAATTTGTTAGCTAGTCAAGAAGCCATGACTAAGCAAATGGGTGAAATCACATTATAGGGTGAAGAAGAAGCACTCTACACAAGTGAAAGTCAGAGCAACAATAAGTCGTCTACCAAACGTGGATACAAAAATGGTGACAAAGGAAGAAGCCATCAAGGAACTGCACAACCAAGGAGAGCTTAGAGGAACGACAACAATAACTCTCAGGTGAATAAATTTGGAGGTATTCGCTACAATTGGGGAAAAATGGTCACATGTTCAGGGATTGTTGGTCCAAGAAAAAATCTATTGAAAGCAATGTGACAACATCAAAAAAGGAGATGGAGGATGAATGGGATGGAGAGGCAATATGTGTCATAGAAGAAGACGAACTAGCGCTCATGGCAATGATAGGAGAATATATCGATTACGAGGATGACTGGATCATTGGTTCAGGATGCTCAAACCACATGGCTGACGATCAGAGTGACGCAATGGAAGTAGGGTGGCCCTCGGAGAAGGAAGTACTATAAGATTTGGACAACATTGAAAAAACTCTACCACAGAAAATGATGGAGCAAATTGTACACATTTGCTTAAGTGCTGCTGTGCCAGAAGATCCAAGTGACATTGTGTTGGTGAGTAAAAAGTTACTCAATCAAGCGAACATAGTGAAAAACAAAGGGCACCTCAACAACTTAAACGATCAGAAAGAATCCAAAAGCCAAATTTAAAGCATGCCAATACAACTATTATAAAAGACGAAGTTAAAGGGTTAGAGACATGAAGAAACATCACAAAATATGGCTTGGCAACAAGCAGTGAAGGAAGAAACTATAGCCTTAGAGCAAAATCAAACTTGGGATCGAGTGCCAAGACCATGAGATGTCAAATCCATCTTTTGCAAGTGGATTTACGAAATAAAGTGTACCCTAGATGGATCAATCGTGAGATACAAAGCTCAGATTGTAGCTTTAGGGTTCTCTCAACAATATGGACTAGACTATGGTGAAACATTGAGTCCAGTAGCAAAGATCACTATCGTGTAGGTTCCTCCAGTACTTATGGTAATTAAAGATTGGAAATTATGATAGATGGATATGAAGAATGTTTTTTTGCATGGAGTGTTGGACCGGGAGATCTACATGAACCAACCTAATTGATTTGAAAATGAAGTTGGAGTCATTAGTTAGTACATGCAAAGCGCGAAGAAGCCTTATTTATATGCAGCTTGACAGGTTTTGCAATATGTCAAAAGTACAATCGATTATGGTCTCTTGTACAAAAGAAGTGAAGACCAAGCTAGTTGGATACTGTGATGCTGACTATACAGGGCATCATGATACCCGAAGGTCAAGCACTAGGTATGTGTTCAAGCTCGGTTCGAGAACAATTTTTTGGTATAACAAAATACAACCAACAGTATCATTGTCAACTAGAGAAGTAGAGTACAAAGCACTAGCTGGAGCAACTCAGGAAAGTACATGGTTGAAACCCTTGATGGAAAATTGACACCAGAAAATTGACTATCTAATACCACTTCATTACAACAACCAATCTGCGATTTGCCTAGCAAAAAATTTGAGATATCGTGCTAGAACAAAGCATGTGGAGACGCATTACCATTTTATTAGAGAGAACGTCTTCAAAGAAGAATACGGATGACCAAGTGGTAAACTTGTTTACAAGAGAGCTGAATACTGACAAATATGAGGGCTTTCGCTATCAGCTCAACATGGTGCAACGAATGTGGACTAGTGTTGAGGAGGAGTGTTAAAATATAATCACTAGCCTAATAGGGTCAAGCGCAATAATTGTATGAGCCCATTGTCTATATATGGTAGGAAAATGATTTAGGTATTTTAGGAATAAAGATATCTAGAAATTTTAGGAAAATGATTTAGGTATTTTAGGAATAAAGATACCTAAGTATTTTAGGAATAAATAGTTAGATATTTTAGGAATAAATTGTTTAGCATGTACTATAAATACCCCGCCAACCTACCAAGGTTTTCATCCCAAAAAATCCAAAGCACAAAGTGCAGTAGTTTTACATAGTGTCTTGTAATCTCTTCTCGATTGGTGTTAATAAAGAGTGCGAGTATTTCCCACAACTTGTTGTGTTCAACCAGGTTTCTTGTTTCAAGCTTTGACCTAGTTGATGAAAATGGGTTGTGTGATAATAATAGATTTGCCACATGATAAAACATTTTGTAAAAATGGCACAAGTTTAAAAACTCATATGTCGGTGGTATACGTAGATTTAGTGACCTACTTTATATTAGAAATATCAACGATATACTTTACCTGTGATCTAAAAATGGTATATCATGTACTTCATCGATGATACAAAGATAGTGTTGGTATACATTTGTAATGTACTTTATCTATAAAAATGGTATTTTAGTGATAAACTTAATATTTGGTATATTAGCAATGTACTTTATCACATAAATGGTAAACCAGTAATCTACTTTATATTAGATATTTCAATGTTACAAAAAGGTTATAACAATATACCAGGGAAAAATTGTCATGTTTGCAAATTATTTTTTCATGTGACAAATTTACAAATATGGACAGTCTTAACCACATTATAATTCCTCTTATTAACTGTGTTACGATTTCCCTTTAATTAATTGATATAATTAGTGAGGTAGGCCTGAAAATTTGGTTGGAGGGAAACCATGAAGAAGTTGAAGTCAAAAGCTGACATTATTGTTGCCATGAATTTTATGGATGAAACATGGTACCGAACTTGTAGATGGAATTTTATCTAAAACCTGTTGTGATTAAACGTTTTTTTTTTTTTTTTTTTTTCCATTAATGCCAAATGAATAGCTTTTTGACAATCTCCACTGGCTTGAGATTGGGGAGTGCATCTTATCTTCAATTCATGTTCATAAACAGCTCAACCAGGAATAGTGCTGCTGAGTAGTCGTCATATGTTTGGTAGACAGGATCTAGAACAAGGATATATATTCGCCGTGACACAATGATTTAAGCCAACTAGGTCATGTGATACTTGTTCATGCTATTCGGAGAAGTAAAATTTACTAAACTGACTTATCCATTGCATCATCTACAAGAGCCGAAAAACCATGATTTTCTGAGAAAATATTGAGTTATCTGTAATTGATTGTTACTTTTAACCAATTATTTTAACAGATGATCTACAGTTGAGATTTCTTTTAAAGCTGTTGTTAATTTTTGTAGTAACCTTCATTTTTGCTGAATCAGATAAGAAAGCATTAACAAATGGTAACATGGGATGCAAATCACATCAGAAGGGCTCAAGTTCTTCTCAGTGTGCGAGGTCATTGAATACTGCACTTTTTCGAGATCAATGCACCAGTAACAGTAGCAAGCGTTCAACTTCCTCTGAGCATGTGAGACCAATTTCTCGTGATCAACATAACAGAAAAAATACAAATAGTTCTTTGCATCATATGCATGACTTGACAAAGGGTGCAGAGAAAGTCAAAATATCTTGGGTCAATGAATTAGGAAATGAGTCTATCCCCAAGTTCAATTACATACCAAACAATCTAATTTTTCAGAACGCCAGTGTCAACATTTCACTGGCTCGGATTTCAGAGGATGATTGCTGTTCAAGTTGCTCAGGTGATTGCCTGTTATCATCTTATCCATGTGCTTGTGCTCGTGAAACTGGTGGGGAATTTGCTTACACACGAGAAGGCCTACTGAAAGAAGAATTTCTAAATCAATGTATGTCTATGAGATGCGAGCCTAAGAAGGAGCATCTCTTTTATTGTGAAGATTGCCCAATTGAGAGGTTAAAGAATGGCTACAAGCCTGATCGATGCAAGGGTCATTTGCTCAGGAAGTTTATCAAAGAATGCTGGGGCAAATGTGGATGTGACATGCAGTGTGGAAATCGAGTTGTACAACGAGGTATTTCTTGCAAATTGCAGGTCAGATTTTCCTTATATCTTCCTATGATGTTACTGTTCTGAAACTGCTTTTATCCTCCAACTTGTATAACTTACTGAGTTACTGGACATTATTGATTTAACTTGTTCACTACCAACCGCATTTAATAAAGTACTTCCATAAAATGCTAAAACATAGTACTTGTACTGAAATCCATATTGTATTAATTTTCTATGCATTGTAATATTCTTTCTTATTCAAATATGAGCAACTTAGACCTTTTTATATAGGAGAAAGACCAATAAAAAAATAAGGAAAAACTATTGACTATAGTAAACCTAAACTGAATGAATATTAACTAATAAATTTTTACAAATATTAGACAAACCAACAATCTCCCTCAAACTGGTTTAAATACGTCTTCCATAGTCAGCTTGTCCCTTAGTTTTTCATATTGTTTCTTTGGTAGTCCTTTAGTCAATACATCAATATTTTGCTTTGTTGTGAGAAGATAAGAAATACATATTATATTTGTTTCAATTTTCTCTTTAACAAAATGGTTGTCAGCCTCAATATGTTTTGTTCTATGAGGTAGAATTGGATTATAAGCTATAGATGACAACCTTGTTATAATAGATTTGTACAGGGGCTATCTGTGATAACCTCAATTCTTCTAATGTCCTTTTGATCTACAAATTCCATGTGTTAAAACTCTACATATTGCTTCAACACTACACATTACACCACCTTTTTTTTATTATTTTTTTTTAATGCTATGTCATGTGATTAGGTTCCCTCCAACGAAATAATAGTAACTTAAAGTAGATCTATTAAAGCATTGATACAATTAATGTTGAAGGAATGAACTTGATTTAAGGAATATTTGTGTAATTCCATTAAATAAGGGAAGTAGTTGACCTCCCTATTGTTACCTAGTATCAAGGGATTTATTTAGATCAGATTTATAGCAAGCAAAAAAATTTACACTTGCAACATGGTATTAGAGTCCTATTCTGGGAGATTTGATTGATCAACATAACCTTTATAACTACGGATCTTCCACCTTAACGAAATTTATTTGGAGCCTTCATAGCTATCGAACTCCACCTTGACCAAGTTTCATTTTAAGCCTTCATAGCTACCATCCACCAATAAAACATCATTGTTCCAGCATTGCGTTAGCATTGAACAGTAATCTGAGCACGTTAAAGAGTGTTCACAGTAGGAAGGCCAAAACATTAGCATTAGCATTCCTAGCTTTCATTCACCACAAGTGCAGCACCAAGCCCACTATCAATTTATTCACTTATTCATCCATCAGTTTGCAAGAGCACATGCGTTTGTTTGTAGTTTGAGAAACAAGGGATAAATGTCAAATGCACAAGTGTACATCACAGAGGAATAAAAGGTGCCAATTATTAAGACTAGTGGATTCAATAATGAAGAGATTGAGAGCTTGGTGGTGTTCTTCATTCACTTTTTGTATAAGCTCTTTAGAAATAAGTTAGGTTAACTCTTCAAGTAAGTCTTTCAGTGCAACTGATCACATGACCTCTCACTCAAAATTATTTAAAACATATTAACCATACCCAAGTAATTGGAAAATTACAGTGACAAATGGAACCAGTGCCACCATTGCATGAATAGGCGATATATTTATTTCTCAAATCCTTACACTAAAAAATGTCCCAAAAAACTATCTATTAGTCTCCTTTCCATACAAAAGCTTTCCTATGACAGCCACTATAATGCTATTTTCTCCTCATCATGTCGTGTTTTTCAAGACCAAAAATTGGAACGGACAATTGGACTTGCTAAGGAATTGAATGACCTATACTACTTGCAATTACCTGAGAGAACAACTAGCCCTGTACCTGTGTCATTTCTTAGTTTCTCTAATAAGAATTCAATTTGGTTAAATCACTTTCGCATGAATCATCCTTCGTATAGAGTTTTGAGAATTATGTTGCCAAATTTGTTTCAAGAATTTCAAGTCTCTGATTTTTAGTGTGATACATGTGAATTCTCCAAGCATACTCGTATATCTTTTCTCACCGGTCAAAATAAAAGTCTATCCTTTTTTGTTTGAGTCATAGTGATACATGTGGACCCTCAACTATTCCAAGTTTTTCTGGTGCTCGTCGGTTTCTTACATTCATTTATAATTGTACTCGGATCACATGAATATTCCTTTTCAAACAAAAATCAGATGTTAGTAATATTATTACTACCTTTCACTCAATGATTTAGCTCCAATTTGGAGTCAAAATCAAAATATAAAATGACAGTGCAAGAGATTATTTCAATCAAATCTTATCCCCATATTTCTATTCTAAAAATATTATCCATGATTCTTCGTGTGTTACTATACCAACAGCACAACAAAATGGAGTGACCAAAAGGAAAAATGGACAGCATTGCTTTTTTATGAAAACATGTCAAAAACTTATTGGAGAGAGGCAATTCTTATTGCAATTCACGTGATCAATCGTCTCTCATCTCGTGTCTTGAATAATCTAATCCCCATAGAAGTCCTCAATTATTTCATCCTCACTTTCGAACATCAAATCGTCTCATACCTTGCATATTTGGGTGAACCGCCTTTCTTCATGTTCACAACACTCAAAGAGTAAACTTGATCTAAGAGCAATAAAATGTGCCTTTTTAGGATATTCTTCGACCACAAAGGGGTACAAATACTACAACCCTACATCTAGAAAGTCTTATACTTCAATTGATGTGATATTCACCGAGCATAAACTGTTCTTTTCTAAGGCCTCTCGTCAAGGGGAGATTGAAGAGGGTCCATGGGGAACTATTGAACCAACTAAACCATACACTCTACCTCCATTGCCAGATCCGTTGTTCTCTCAGATATATGCTAGAAGGAAAGTCATTTCATAGCCGATTCAAGTACAAACATCTGACTCTACTCAAAATGAGGATGTAACACAATTACCAATAGATGATAGACCTATAGCTTTCCAAAAAACCTACTAAAGAATGCATAAAATGACCTTTATACCCTCTATCAAACTCCCTCTCTTTGAAAACAATCTCCATCACATAAGAGTTTCATTGTGAGTCTAATTTCAATTGTTATACCTAACACAGTTTTTGAACCTTTATTCAAAAGAGAATGGCAGGATGCTATGAAAGAAGAAATGCATGCTCTAAAAAGAATAACACATGGGAAGTTGTGGACAGGCCAAAAGGAAAAAAATATAGTTGGGTGTAGGTGGCTTTTCACCAAGTACAAGGCTGATGGGATGTCGGAAAGGTATAAGGCAAGGTTAGTAGCTAAGGCATACACTCAAGCTTACAATGAAGATTACCAGGAGACAGTTGCCCTAGTTGCAAAGATGAATATCGTAAGAATATTGTTATCTTTAGCTACCAACTTAAATTGGCAGCTTTCATAGTATGATGTTAAGAATGCATTTTCACGGCAATCTAGATGAGAAATCTACATAAGAATTCTTCCCGGATTGAAAGCTCAAGAGGTAAGGTATGAAAATTGAGATAGGCCATATATGGACTAAAACAATGACGCGGTTTGGAAGATTCACTAATGAAAGAGGGTATAAGCAAAGTTAAAGAGACCACATTCTCTTTATCAAACATTCAGAATCAAGATGAGTTATAGTGCTTTTAGTATATGTAGATGACATCATAGTCATTGGAGATAACGAAGAAGAAAAACTTGAATTAAGAAGAAAATTGATGAAAGAATTTGAGATCAAAGAACTTGGAAGGCTAAAGTACTTCTGGTATTGAAGTAACGTACTCAGCTTAGGGTATTTTCATATCACAATAGAAATATGTAGTTGATTTATTGATGGAAACAGGAAAAGCATAGGTAAATCTGCAACAACACCAATGGATCCAAATTAGAAATTAGGAAAATGAAAAAAGACCATGCGGTGAACGGAAAAATGTACTAGAGGCTCGTAGGGAGGCTTATATATATAGCTCACATTCGACTAGACAGCATACTCAGCAAGTGTAATCAACCAATTCATATATGGTTCGCTGGAGCCTCACCTTCAGGCAGTATATAGAGTATTATGTTACCTTAAGGGAACTTTAGGAAAATAAATTTTATTCAAACGGAACAATTCTCTTGCAGGTAAGCTTACACCAATGATGACTATATTGGATTGATAGTGGACAAGATCTAAATGAGATATTATACTTTTCTTGGAGGTAATTTAGCAACATGGAGAAGCCAAAAGCAAAATGTGGTGGCTAGAGCATTTGCCGATTAGAATTATCAATATTGCATATAATCCTATCCAACATGATAAGACAAAATTTATTGAAATTGATCGACATTTTATCAAAGAGAAATTAGAGAAGGGGATAGTATGCATTAGTTTTGTGCCCTCACCACTTCAACTAGCAGATATATTAACAAAAATACTTCACATTTCATAAGTACCCAAGCTAGGAATTGATGATATCTATTCCTTACCTTGAGGGGACGTGTTGAAGGAATGACCTTTGTTTAAAGAATGTTTGTGTAATTCCATTAAACAAGGAAGTAGTTAAAGAATGAAGAACTATTCTAATATCAACTTCCTGCAAGACTAAGAGAGCTTACAAACAAAAAGTATTGATATAATTAAATTTATCGTAACTCTAATTAAGATTTTGGATTTAGTGGGGATTAGTATGGTATGAGAGCAAGAAGTCTTGTGTTTGAACCCCTATAATATCATTTTTTCTCCAATTGATTTCCACTTGTTGGGCTTTATACAAATTTTCAAGCCCACAGTGGATGGGAGCGTTAAAATATTGATATAATTAAATTTATCGTATATCTCAACTTAAGTTTTTAGGTTAGGTGATGATTTAACAAGATCTTTTGTTAGTAACACTACATGCTTACTCTGGATCAATATAAACTTCTATTCGAATGTTATAGTGTTTTTTTGAATAAAACACCTTCAAAGTGAGCCAGCTCAGGTACATGCATAAATTGATTTATCGTGCTCACTGCAACGCAATATTGAATGAGTATGAGATAGATAAATTAATCTTCCCACAAGTATCTAATATTGTTCTTTATCCATTATTTCTTCTGTCTTTTTTGCTTGTAATTTCAATTTGAGTTCAATAGAAGTTTCTTCTATCTTGCAGCCAAGGAACCTTGTTTTTTCAATATCTTTGATCTTGTGAACTCCACTCCTAGAAAATATTTGAATGCCCCAAGTCCTTGATTTGAAACTCGTTTGCAAGATTTTCCATCAAATCAGCTAGACCAGTTTCATCATCACCTAAGAGAATAATATCATCTATATAGAAACCAAATTGAGATCCTATTATTCTTAGAATGTCTATAAAACATAGCATGGTCTACTACAAACATAGTATGAGATACTTCACGCTGAAGATATCCACAACTAGATACAACTTTCCCAAAACACTAGAAACAAGCCCTTGGAGATTGTTTGAGACCATAAAGAGATTTCTGTAATTTTCAATTTTTACTCGGTGGTAAGTTCATAAAAACCTCATACTGAAGATCACCATTGAAAAAACATTGTTCACGTCAAGCTGGTGGAGAGGTCGATCTAAATTTACTACAAGAGATAAAAGACCTTCAATAGAGTTAATATTAGCAACATGAGCAAATGACTCCTACCAATCAATTCTAAAGGTCTGAATGAAGTCTTTAGCTATCAATCCGGCTTTATAACATTCAATACTATGATCTGCATTACATTTTGTGGGAATCATTAAAACCCATTTATACCTTACTGGTCTTTTATCATTTGGCAAATCTATTATTTCTCAAGTACCTTTTTGTTTTAGAGCATTTATCTCCTCCATGATTGCCAATTTCCAATTTGGAGTTTCTAAGGCTTTTTGTGTTTTCCTTGGAACAAACAAGGTATTTATCCTGGATGTGAATGTTTTATTTATAACGGTTTGAAAGGTTAGGTGCAACTTCAATGCCTTTTCTAACAGCTATAGGAACATCAAAGTCAGATATAATAGTTGAAGAAGTAGGAATAGAAGATGATACAATAGTTGAAGTAGGAATATAAGAAGGGTTATTAGACTTTACATGTTCATCAGTCGAAGTTTCAGATTGGTTTTGTGAAGGATGTTGTATTTGGTTCTGTAGTATTTCTCTGCCCTTGATTAAGAACTTTTTATTTCTAAGCTTAGCATTAAAGGACTTGTAATAGTTAAAACATATAATATTTGGAAGAGGAACAGAAACGTCCCCAAAATTTTCTCCTACTGAATTCTCCCTTGAAGAGAATCTTGGGAAGGTTTAGATGGTTTTCCAACAGAGATCCATTAATTCTCAAAGTTTTTTTTTTTTTTTTTTTTTTTTTTTTTTTT